CCTATAGTCGCCATGATCAGTTCGCTATTGTTAAAATATATAACTAATTTAAAATAATGACCATAAAATAAAATATACGTAAGCACTCTCACATTTTAACTAAAATTATACTCATATTAGACGGTTATCAACTCATCACAATAGTGTCAAATACAAGGTTCAGCGTTGAACCACAAATGGTCCTATACGTTCCAACCGCAAATGCGAATAGCTATTCACAAAAGCGCGAATTACGTGAATATTCAATACATCACATCTAGTAGAGCTGTGGTACAATCCGCTCGATTGAAATAGACTATGATTGGCCACCAACGGATGTGCACCATTCATATTTTATGTTCTGAGTGACACTAAAAAGGGTTATTGTGTTTTTGATTGGTTTTAAGTGGTATTTTATCACGAGGTCTTACTATATAGGTTTATCTATATATATGTTGTATTTACCTACTCGATGAGTTTGTATTATTTTCGAAGAAGACCAAATCAGTTTTGACCCCAAGGACTAAAATTGTTATGAAGCCTCTTCGGCTAGGAATTCAGAAACTGTTCTTGTTCCTGAACTTGCGAGCCCAGCCTGAAACTACACCGAGGAACAAGCAATCAAGAAATGTCTAGATATTTTTTATCTATTTTCTTTACTAGATAAGCCGGAAAACGTCCATGGACATCCGAAGCACGTTGGCTGCCATTTGGGGGGGGGGGTGTTTCTGGTAATTCTGGTAACCTCACACCCATGACGAAACACAATGCGTGCGTGGTTTCACGTCAGTTCCCTGTGATGCCGTGGTATCATTATTCTGTTCGAGCCGGCCTATTCGTGCCGAGGCCTGGCTCTCTCACAATTAAATTGCACTCGTCTATAAATTGAAACATTTATTTCTTAAATATGTAATAATTATCATTTTTTTGGTATTTAATGGGCTGACATATGGCCAGCCTGGTGGTAAGCGACAATGAGGCCTACGATGGAGTCCGTCTGCCCACAAGCAACCTATTCACTCGGGCCTTGAAGACGTCGAGGTTATACTCTTCAGGAAATACAGATATTATAGGTACATATATATGATGTTCTTGGTAACTCCCAACTCTCAACAGATCATAAAAACGTGAGTAATTAAGCAACAAAAATATTAATGTTTTATAAGTCAAGCAGATTTAATTGATTTCGTGTTTCATCACAGACATTTCATTTCGCATAACACAATATCCCACGACTATTTGCTTAGATTAGCTTTGGCTATTGATTAATTTACTTAACTCTATTTTACTATGGTGCGTACTTAATGCGTTTCATTAGATGAGGTCTCCAGGTATTTACTCGCATGGTTAATTAGTTACATGTTTATTGATTTATGCGTATTTTTATTGCCTAGTTTTGATAAATATTTATAATAATTTCACACAAATCTTAAAAAAAACGTTGCTCCACACTACTAATTTCTCCTGTGTCGTGGTTGCGTTTACAAACATACAATATAAACACATAAACCTGACACCCAGATCAAAAATAACAATTTGTGGATCACACAAAGAGTTACTTTGTGCCGGAATCGGGCCCGATACACGTTTTTTTTTTTTTTTTTTTTTGGTTTTATTTTGGTTAACCAACAATTGTTTACACTATATACATTACTGAAATTTGTTAGTTGAAATGTATCTATATTTGATTTTAAAGCTTATGATTAGTTTTGTAATAGATTATCAAAAAACAATTATTTTAATAATTGTCCATGAGAGTTAGAAAACTCATAGTAATCTTATACATTATCACTACATAGTATAAAACAAAGTCGCTATCCGCCGTCTGTCTGTCCTTACGTATGCTTAGATCTTTTACGCAACGCGTGTTTTTTTTAATAGATACAGTTATTCTAAAGGAAGTTTTATATGTATAATACATGCATTTTGCTCCCGTGCATCCGGGGCTGGTCGCTAGTTTATTATATAAAGCTGAAAAGTGTGTTTGTTTGTTTGAATGCGTTAATCTCAGGAAGTACTGGTCCGATTTGGAAATATCTTTTTGCTTTAGATAGTCCATTTATCGAGGAAGCTCACACTACAATCAATAGGCGACGAGCAGAGCTGGTGAAAACGCGCGGAAGTTGGTAGTACTAATAACATAAATACGGCATTAATACTTAATAGATTATAGAATATATAGAAATAGATACTTAGAAGAAAATACACAAATATATATTATACTAGCAGCCCGTCCCGGCTTCACACAGGGTAGACAATTATTTATTTTTGGAAATTTGGATTGTTGTAGTGACATAACTACAATAGTGGGACATAAATGCTACCGCGGAGTTTTTGTAGACATTATGATGTTCTTCAATAATTGTTGTACATTATTTTATTCTATCGCTAATAGTTTCGGCAGCGCATTCGACGAAAAACATTTTAAGACTCATTTTTCTACACCTTTGGTTACATTGTTTAAATTTTACCAAGGATCCCTAATTTTTTTCAAAATGAATTGTAGCCTATGTTAAATTGGAAGAATGTAGCATTCTATTGGTGAAAGAATTTTTTAAATCGGCCCAGTGTTTTTTGAGCCTATTCATTACAAACATACAAAAATATGTACGAATCTTTCCTCTTTATAATATTAGTATAGATAAAACAAACAGTACCGAGCCGACGTACCCTTTCGAAGCAGAATTGTTGTTATTATTGTTTCCAAGAAACAATTAAATATGTATGGAAATGTTCTAATAAACAATCTTCGTTCAGCTTCCAAACAGTATACGTAATTCCTTAGAGAACCATTGCTCTTCAAATTGGAGGTCAAATATTATGTTACTAAGGCTGAAATAAGTACCTATAAAGTTCTACTTCAGTTTAATATAGTATTTTTCGGTAATAATTATGTAATGTCTTAGTAGGAGGCATTCGTTTTAATGTACTGCCTGATTAATCATAATCACTCAAAACCTGGGTGTCTTCAAGGCCCGAGTAAATAGGTTGCTTATGAGTCAACGTGCTCCATCGTAGACCGCATCACCGCTTATCAGGTGAGATACTGGTCAAACGTCGACTCATCAAATGTAAAAAAAAATGTTGTATTACTGAAAACGTTACATACAATATTAGTCATATAACTCGTCGAGTACCGGTTTTGTAGACACAATTATAGAACAATAGGTTGCGGTCACCAGTGACCGCTTGGTGTTTGACAGTTTAATACTAAAACCGTAAACAGTTTAAGATATATGGACTTTTTTTTTAAGGGGTGAAAATCATCTAATGACTGCTCCCCCCTGGTTGAGGCGGGAGGGAGTGTCAGACTCTTACTGACTAAAAACCACCCCGTTCCTACTCCTGCACGTCGAGCCGGAGCCCCGGTTACCGGACTTAGCGTGGTAGGTTTTCCAATATTTAGACCGAACGGCATCGACGGCGTCGTAAGGAGCCAATGGATGCAAGAAGTGAGTTGACGTTCGACGTGGAGGACTAAAGGGGAGGTCTTTGTCCAGCACTGAACGTCTTCGGGCTGATGAAGATAATGTTTGATATATAATCTGTGTATAAAAGAAATTACCCTGATGCCACTGTACAATTTAACACCCATTTTCACTATTTATGTTATGAGTCCCATGTAATAGGGGGTGAGCCTATTGCCATATACCGGGCACAATCCCAGATTACATGCTACTACTGAGATTTCTTTTAAGCCCAGTAACCTGCCGACCGACAGATAGCCCGCCCCGGGAATTAAACCCAAGTCCCCATGACCGGCAGTCACACTTGCAAGAATCTCACCACTCGGCCAACGAGGCAGTCAAACAACCAAAATATGAATAAAGACATTGAAAACGTTCCAACAAATAATTACGATCAAGCTTTCTAACAATCCATTCCTTAATAACTATTGTTCTTTAAGCAAAGGGTGTATTATCATGAATAGTTCGGTCCCGTCGGTGTTTTGTGCGACTCTCATTGTGTCAGACAATGAGCCGATATAATGAATGATATTCGGAACCTGGTTATTAACCCGTTTGTGAAATATAATGGGAATTTCTATTTTAATTATTATGTTTTCAGCTGACTCACGTAAATGTTTGACGAGGAACTCGACTAGTTTCAAAGCATGTTTGAGGCTCATATTCGTGAGCAGCATTCCTTGACCCGCGCCGCGGCGTCTATCGCGCTGCTACTCGACAGTCGCTGCGGCAATAGTTGCGTGAGTAAGCTGAAAACAATAATTAATGTAGTATGTGTCACAAAAGTTTTTATTTCTGTTTTATTTGTTATCTTATAATTAAGATATTTCATATAATAAGTGTTTATTTGGTGATTTCCAAGGGAATGTTGATGAGCTATACATGTTTTTTTTGTTATGTTTGAAAAAGTAGATACTACGTTCCTCTTCATGTCATTGTTACAACCAACAAATTTATGGAGGATCAAAATATACCTAGTATAGAATTTCTAACTTCAAATTCATCTCTACCGTGCATCGATGGTCTAAAGAGAATACGGACCAGTCTATTAATTACATATTATAGTATGACTGAAACAATAATACACGTACCGACCTTGTTACTAATTGTTAATTTGAAACCATTCACAATCAATTAATAACACAAGAAGATAACTATCGGAAAATCGTTTTAGCAAACTAAGAGTTAAAAATTAACAAACTTCCTTAACAAAAGTCTATAAAATCCACATGTTCTTGATATACTCGTAAACACGTACCTAATGAGAATAAATTCTAACAAACACTTGAATGGTCTCGCGACAAAATGATTTCTATGGCCGTCGGCGTAGGCGCATCGCCTTGGTTAATCATGTACAAAGCAGTAAGTCAACCTACACCTTTCTGGTATATTTCTTTATTCAATTTTCAACTTTAACTGTTTTGATATAAGTTTGAAAATCCAATGACAGAAATCAAATAGCTTGACCAGCTGGCGTCTGTACAGCTGTTCACTAACCTACCTATTTGTCACATACATTGTATATAAGTACTTATTTGTTTACTGACAGTGACAGCGACCAGACGTGTGTCATACTGGCAATGTTTTCAAAATCATTACTTTTTATAGCACTTTTAATTTACCAAACAAAATGTGAATTGAAGATTTTTGATCCTAAATCTTGTGAACTTGGAACTTTAGTTAAAGAGATTGAATCTTATGACGGTGTTGTAAAGAAGATATTGGACTACACAGTGTCTGGACCTTTCAAAGGGAAGACCTATGATGAGTAAGTATTGTTGTACTCAAATTAAACTCAATTGGTGTTTTGTGGGATTTCTATTCGACATTGATGTTACGTTCGTGATTTATTTTGTTACAAATGTATTGTCTACGTATAGTGTACGATAGTTGCTAATGGTATGTGATCGGGTTTTTAAATAGGTATCGTTGGCCATCAAAGAATGTGCTCATATATTATTTCTATCAAGAAATGATAATTAGTTTGGGTCTCTGTAATTTAATATGGTAAAGAACAGGCCATGTGTAAGTTTTTTTCTAGTGGTATTTGTTTGTATAGGTGCCCATAGTTTTTGAAAGTAATTTATTCAAATCAATATATCAATATTTAAACAAGTTTTCACTCGGGCGTAGGTTCTATTAGTGAGTTCTTCTGGATTAGTTAGATGTGTTTACAAGGTCATAGTATAGTTCCGATGGTATTATGCTAAAACAGGCTAGTTATAAATCTGATCACGATTTACTGTCGCATTCAAACAGTCATTTAACCTTATAAAAATACCCTTAACCGACGAGCATGAATGAAAAGATTGATGAATGTTGATGAAGCGAAAGATGTATGTAGGAATCGTAGTAATTAGCATTCCATAGTCTTTGTACACCCTTTGTATACCCCCATGGGAGGCAGCCGTGAAGTTATGTATGTATTTAACCTTATTACATGGGACTCATAATATAAATAGGTAATGAAACGTGGGTGACACATTGGACAGTGGCATGCCGAAATGTGCACCTATATGTTATGATAAACATATTAAATATTATAATTCTGTTTCTCGTGACTTCGTTCGCGTGGAATTGTAATTTACAACTCCTCCTCCGTAGATGATAGCGTGATAATATGTAGCCTATGTGTTGACCCGTCCTGTTAGTGTTGCATATTTCATGATGTCAGTGCATGAATATTTCATGCAAAATTTGAAGTAAATCCATGCAGCACTTTTTGAGATCATTCCGGATAAGTATACAAACAGACAAAAATTCGAAAACCATATTTTTGGCTTCGGTAACGATTGTATATCACGCACCACGTGTTCTTTATAAAAATATTCAATGTACACTTTTGACTATTCTACGATTTTATTAGGTACTAGCTGTGCCCGCGACTTCGTTCGCGTAGAATAGTGACTATGAGCAGCGTTTTTTTTTTAAATATATACTTATTTTTATTTTAGATAATAGCCCCTGCTATTTTTTTTATTTTTATTTTCAATGTACAGACAGCACTTTTCTACAATTTTATTATATGTATAGATATGTTTAGATTTTGTATTGTCAACATTAATGTAGGTTTTCAAAATTAATTTTACACAATTTTAATTATTATTACATTTGTTAATTCCTTACATTGTGTTTTGTGATTTATTGCATGCATAATAACAGCACATACATGTAAATAGCTAATAGTATTAATAATAGATCATTCGTTGGCGATAATTTATTTTAATAGCTGTTTTATGTACGTCTATTGTTCAACTTAATTATAATTATGTGGTTTAACATACATATATATATACTATCTTAGAGCCGGTCTCGTTGGCGGAGTGGTCGCAGATGCGACTGCCGAGCAAGGGATCTCGGGTTCGATTCCCGGGTCGGACAAAGTAGGTATTACTGGGTTTTTAGAAAAAATCTCAGTAGTAGCACCGAGTCTAGAATAGTGCCCGATATATGGCGATAAATTACATGGGACTCATAACATAAATTGTGAAAAGTGGGTGTTACAACATAGTACAGTGGCATTAAGTGTCGTAATGTGCACCTCTGCCTACCCCTTCGGGGATAAATGGCGTGATGTTATGTTATATTATCTTAAATTAATAGTTTCGTCTTAATAGTTTGTTCCTAATGCTAGTTAAATATAATTGTTACAAAAAAATAGTTAGCACTTTAGTTACACCCGCGCATTTGTAGATCGCATTGTCTTAGTCTACAATGGAGGATACAACAAATAGAGTTTCTTGCTCGTACTTCTCTATTCGAATCTACATTTTGGAATGAGATATAGCTTCACCTATCTTACCGACGACGGACTGATTGACAGACTATCATTTATTTTGTATTTGTTGACGTTTCAAAAGTACCAAATCTTGGTTTAATTGAAATAAATGCTTTGACTTTGACTTTGACCTTACAGTCTTCCTCTTTAATGACCTATCCAAAACAAAAGAATTATAGAATTCAAGTTTTTGAGATTTGCAAGTTCAAACAAACAAACTAAATATTTAACAATTTATTTAAATAATATTTTTATTTTATTTTAGGGTTTAAGATTTTATTATTATAATAAAATCTTAAACCCTAAAAAAAATAATAAAAAATTTAAAGATATTTACCAATTTCTTTAAATTTTTTATTATTTTTTTTAGGGTTTAAGATTTTATTATTATAATAAAATCTTAAACCCTAAAAAAAATAATAAAAAATTTAAAGATATTTACCAATTTCTTTAAATTTTTTATTATTTTTTTTAGGGTTTAAGATTTTATTATATAACATTTTTTAGTCTAAGTAAATCTGTATCTATAAATATAATAAAACTGTTCAAGTGTAAATTCTGTACCTTGAAAATATTACAAAAATAAATGTTATAAAATCGAAACCAAAAATGTGATTAAAAAGAATTTTGTCTGTGTGTTCATTGTTCACACATCACGCAAAAACTCCCGGTCCGATTATAGAATAGTAATTCTTTCTTAAGGTTTCAAAGCATTAAAGCATACAAATCTAGGTGACGAATATGACAGACAACACATAATATTATACAGCATAACAAAACCAACAATTCTAAAACAACAACTCACAGTTACTTCAAAACATTTACATCTCATATCTATCGAGCACTTAAACTTGTAATCCGAAATGTCGAAATAAAGTGGTGTGCGTACAATTGAAATTTCACACACAATTTGATAAGATATCAGTGAAATCCATACGAAATACTCTCAAGTCTCTCGAGTATTAAATGTCTATCAAAGTTACGAGTAATCGTATGTACCTAGCAGGGATGTCAAATATGTGGACATCAACTTTAGCGCTACTACAAACTTTACCGTGTTTCTGTTCTCTGTGACTATCGTGGAAACCAGTAGGTAATTGGCTTTTTGTTGTAAACCCACATTTTTTTAATCAATTTGTATGGCTGTTGGTTTCTCATGCCATTTAAACATCAACAGACTGTACCAGTCTACTAGACCTCCTCTTCAAAAAAGAGGTTTGTCATAATCTCCATGCTTGGTACGTGGATTGGGAATCGAAATTTAAAAGTATCAGGTTTTTTAGAGAGTGCTGCAACTCATATCCGTTAACTATGTACCTAATCCTATAGCTGACTCTTACGTTGCCCATGGGATAGGTACAGGCAGTGACAAATGCATTCTAGTTACTCTATTGTCAACCCATGGCCTAGTCGTAGTCACGTCAATAAATGTTCCTTCACAAAATAGCACAAAAATACGTAAAGGTTCACCAACCCTGGTAAAGACGTTTTAGACAGTCGGCCATCAATACAGATAAGATAGGCGCAGTACAAAAGAGCTCTCAATTTATCAATACATCTCAATGTCTGATAGACGCTGGAAGAAAAATGAATTTCGATAGTATTGTCTTCATTGTAACCCTTTTTGTTATCCTTCCGAACGAAGCCAAGGTTCTGAAAAAAACATCAAATACATGCGAAGACATTTTAGGCGATGATTTGATTGAAGAGATATGGTCTTACAGAAATGTGAAGGATGATATACTGAAATATGTTTTGGACGGTGATTTTAAAGGCAAGACGTATGATGAGTGAGTGTTTGGGAATAAAACTAGTGTAGATTTATTACGTGATGTAAGTTATAAGATGTAAATGGTGGTTTTGTGTTACAGATTGGCAAAATTTGTGGATAAGTTTGGAGCTCGACCTTCAGGAACTGATGTTCTTGAAAAATCTATTGATTACATGATCGAATTGACAAAGAAAGAAGGCTTAAATGATGTCATCACCGAAGAAGTTAAGGTGGGTTTTATTGCACTATATTTTAATTAGACATAGAAATAATTTATTTACATTTCTCGTTATGGATTAAGACGTCATATTAGAGTTGCTATACTATAATGACAAACTTATAATTTAATTTCCTTATAGGTACCTCTTTGGGAAAGAGGTGAGGAGAAAATAACTATGCTTGAACCAAGAGAAAAGGACATTGCTCTATTGGGTCTCGGTAAAAGTGCCACTACACCACCAGAAGGGCTTACGGGTGAAGTTGTTGTAGTACGTAACTTTGAGGAGTTAGAAGGTATCTCTGAAGATAAAATCAAAGGTAAAATTGTGCTATATGTTCCTGTTTTTACGGCTTACGGAGAAACTGTAACATACAGGTCTCAAGGAGCATCGAAAGCATCAGCAAAAGGAGCCATTGCAAGTTTGGTGAGGTCGATTACTCCCTACTCATTGTATACCCCTCACACTGGTTCTCAAACTTATGCAGATGGTGTGGTTCCCATACCAACAGCAGCAATCACCTTAGAAGACGCCGATTTAATTACGAGAATGTATGACAAAGGTGAAAAAGTTGTTCTAAATATTAAAATGAGTTCAAAACTAGACGAAAATAAGATTTCGAGAAATACGCTAATCGATTTGAAAGGATCAGAATACCCTGAAAAGTTGGTAATCGTGTCAGGACATATTGATAGTTGGGATGTAGGTCAAGGAGCTATGGATGACGGTGGTGGTATGTTCGTTAGTTGGGCTGCACCCGTGATTTTAAAGAGACTGCACTTGACACCAAAACGAACAGTAAGAGCTATTTTTTGGACTGCAGAAGAACTAGGTCTGATAGGCGCCTACGCTTATGAGAAAGCACATAGAAATGAAAGTGACAACATTAATTTTATAATGGAATCTGATGAAGGAACGTTTGCTCCTCTTGGTTTAGCTGTAAGTGGCACTCAAAAAGCTCGATGCATCATTGCCGAAATTTTGAAATTATTCAAATCAATAAATGCTTCAACCCTTGTAGAAGAAAATAGTCCTGGCTCTGATATTGCAATATTTACTGGTAATGGCATACCGGGAGCTAGTCTTCATAATGACAATGGAAAATATTTTTGGTTCCATCATACTGAAGCTGACACTATGAACGTTGAGAACCCAGACGAACTTGATCTTGGAGCGGCTTTCTGGACAGCAGTAGCTTACATCATCGCAGACCTTTCTATAGATATTCCACGATAAATCATTTAGGAAGTTCGTGGGAGATCTATGAATGTCAATTTGACTTGCATGTTTTAAATACAAATTGATAAGAACACAGAACATCTCTCTCATTAAAATAATCCTTATCTAAACCAACAGATAGACAATTTCACTTAAGGTCTTATGAAATATATTTTCTTTTCAATAGTGAGATATCGCACTCAAATAAAAGAACTGGAGGCAAAAAATCTGAAAATCCTCCAATCAATTTATATTTTGGCAATGTTCCACTCAATTTTTCTAGAAGTGTCCTTAAATCAATGAGCGTGAATCCTTTATCTTTGGTTCATTTTCTTTTAGGATCCAGCTCTTGGGAACGGTAAACGGGATGCGGTGTATTATAAAGATATTTTCTATGCTACCAGTAAAATAGAATTTTCTTTTGCGAAGCGATCTACCTTTTGATAAAGGTCTTAAATAATGTTATCGTGTCTCAGCCGTTATAATAAAAATAAAACAAGTAAGCTTCTAGACAAAATGTTGTATCGAGCGTGTAAGGCAAAAACTGATTTTTATGAGAATAAAGAATGATGACTTTCGGGTTTTAGGGAATAACGTTTTTTTAATATATGTATACGGATATGATTTTGTGGATTGATGTAAATTTAAGGTACGTTTTTGTGGTGTCAGTTTTGGTAATTTATTTTATCAAAATCCAATATCTGATTATAAATCGATTCTGGTTCGTGACGTCAATCAAATATGACATCCTAATAGGGAAACTCAACATTGGAAGTCAATGAATAATGTAAAAGTTCTCGGCAGTATTAATTGAAAATGTAACGAAATTACTGAGTTAGAAATTCATGGGCATAGTAAATAAAGTGTTTTAATGAATTTTGGGGTAAAGTTTCCAATTGATAATATTAATACTTGATTGTATTTTCATGAGCATGTAGCGAGAAATTGGGTTCGATTGGTTTTTATTGCAAGAACTTTCTAGGCATCAGTTAACTTTTACTATATATAGACTCGATTATAAAAGCATTATTATATACTCGTGTCATAATATTTTTATTTTGAACCTCTATATGCAATTTTATTTAGGGGGGAAAATCATCAAACGACTGCTCCCGCCTGGGTGAGGCGGGAGGGGATTGTCAGACTCTTACTGACTAAAAACCACCCCGTTCCTACTCCTGCACTTCGAGCCGGAGCCCCAGTAACCCATTAGGTTTTCCGCGGCTCCGTATCGGCATCGGCCCTATTGGGCCCCATCCGTGGTGGTCTGATGACTCTTTGAGGCGCACGCAGAACGCCTCGCGCTGCACGCTCGGTTCTGGTCAGGCGGCAAGCCACCCATGCTCGCCGTCCGCAGGCCCGCGATGCCTCTATATGCATAGGTACATTCCTCTAAAAGTACCCATAAAATTTATCAAAATTCTCAATTTTTATTGCTTAACCAATTTATGCTGTCTTACTTCTGGCTTCCGCCCAACTAAATTAAGATCAATAGTTACTGAACAAAACTCGAACGTTTCAAACTAAGGTCAAAAGTAGACTTATTCATGTTGCATTATATGCATTAGTAGCACACCTCTTAATCGCCAAGGAAGTATTCACAGGTTGACATAGTTTGCGTAATACCCATTATTTTATTCGATTGTATTTTTTGTATACGTCAATATTATAAAAAAATCTCTTCAATATTCGCTTTTATCACGTGCTGTAAGCTTGACCTCTCTGCTCAACCTGATCTATTCAACATTGTTTTGTTTACTGGCCTCAACCTGACACTAATTCAACTCGCCCTACATTAAATAGAGCGTGAAGAACTTCAAGATAAGGTCTATTTTGAAGGTCCATTCAAAAAGTTTTCATTGGCTTTTTGTCTGCATGGAAAAAAAAGAAAATTTTGGACAATAGGAATCCGACTGGCTTACTTTACCTGGCAATTTTATTGTGAACGATAAAAAGTGTAATTATAAAAACAACTCCGAAACATAATAAGGAATGGAAATACTTTGCGCAATGGTTTCTTTTTGTTTTTCTCTCTTTATTATGTGAAAATTGTGAAAAACCAGAGGCTTGATTTTTGTTTAGTATTTTGTTTTTGCTAATTTGTGTTGTTTGATCGTGGTTTTTGTGTTTTATACCTTTCATGATGGATAACGCTTGCGTCATTTGACGTTACATGGCTTTAAAGCTGAAATTTTCCAGTACGAGTTTCTTTATGTTGGACAAGTCCATTGCTAAGCACCAGACACAATAGACTCTAGAACTTAAACCTATATATATATATATGCCGAATTATATGAAAGTAAAAATCAAGGTTTCGTGCCTTGTATAATATCAAGAACTAGTAGTACTCTGGAATCCGTAATATATATTTTATTATTTTAATTAGACTATTAATTAGGTAAATTGTTTTTTGTATGAAAGATATTTATCTAGATTTTCATTATAATAAATCGTTTCTCTGATTACCCACGCCGCGGAACAGAGATAAATATTACTAATGACTTCCCAACCTTATCTATAATTTCGTCTATATTATCTACTAGCGACTCGCCCCGGCTTCGCCCGGGTGCAATATGCATGTATTATACATATAAACCTTCCTTAAGAATCACTCTATCTATTAAAAAAACCGCATCAAAATCCGTTGCGTAGTTTTAAAGATCTAAGCATACATACGGACATACAGCGAAAGCGACTTTGTTTTATACTATGTATTGATGGTTACCTACCTCGCTGTTTTAGTTGTCATGTAGCTTAAATTACTATGTAAACCTTGATTCAGTGTAGACGTTATTATAGGTAAGTATTTGAATCATAGAACAATTTCATCATAATATTGACATAATGCTTCATCCAGTAGCTAGCGACGCAGCTAGTAAAATATAATCATAACGCTGTATGTATTTACGCATTTTTTGCGTTTAAATATTTTTCACGCTTCTAATACATAGGAATATCAAGCCTATACAATCGGTCAATAGGGCTGATGCCGATACGGAGCCGCGGAGAACATAAAAGGTTACCGAAGTTCCGGCTACAGTGCAGGAGTAGGAGCGGGGTGGTTTGTAGTCAGTAAGATTCTGAATACCTCCCCCCCCCCCCTGCTGCCTCACCCAGGCGGAAGAAGTCATTCGATAATTATCGGTCAGAGGCCAGATGCTCCAACTAAAACAAGCGTGTACTGTAGGACCACCATACTTATGCACTGCGTTTCCTTATATTTATCAGAAAAACTAGTTTACATGTTTTTGCTATACTCAGGAACCCTCGTGATAAGATAACCACTGAACCAACAAGCCAGTTGTAACAGTAACACAGATTTATGTCCACTGTTACATGCCACTGACAAAGTAACTGCTGAAAATATCTCTTTGAAGCATTTTGTGAGTGTTTTACACATAGTTGGAGCCGTAAAAAACTAGTAATGGCTTAGGGAAACTCCTAATAACATCTAACTGAAGCCACATCTGTCTTTGGGGCGGTCCGTAAAGTCTAATCTACGACTTCAAAAGGAAAGTACAAAAAAGAAAGAAATGTGACGAAAATCGTCTCGAAAATTGGTTGGTTCTTTTGACATAACATAACATGAGATTTTCTGAAGTCGTAGATTATAGTACATATTTTGAAGATGTAAACTTAAGGACGTGTGTTTAGGACTAGGTTTTGAACATCAAGAAAGAAAAAAGTAAGAATCGTCTTATACATTTTATTCTAAGATGTTTTTACACATCATCATCATCAGCCACAAGACGCCACTGCTGAATATTATAGAACTTCCCAAATTCCTTTCTCATTAGTCGCTTAGAAGAAACAAACTTACGGAATAATTAAATTATATTCCATAGTCTCCAAAGAATTATATGTAAAGATCAAGAATTCATAACCCGAGTGAATAGGTTGCTTATGGGTTGACGTGCTCCGTCGTAGACCTCATCATGGCTTACCAACAGGCTCAAATAAAAATAAGAATACCTGCAAGCATTACCATAACCAATGAACCAACAAGTTAATAAGAACTTCAAAGACTTTGTTATTATAATTAAAACCAAAACTATGTAAGTTAATTCTCCAAACCAAAAACCTGGATTCAGAAATCCCAGTGCCTTAGTAATTAGATAGAGCAACCTTGTCGGTTTAAGCGCAGTTTAACTTTTATTTACTTGCTCTGTTCTGGTGTTTTAGTTTTTATTCCCCGCTACACGAGACCAGTATACGGTTTACCATATTTTGATTCCATCCTTTTGTTTGTTTACTTTGTTGTGCTTTTACCTGGAAGAGTAAATGTTTTTATTTAGTTTTTTTTAAATTGTGTCGTGTGTAATGTGTTTATTTATAAAAATGTAAATACACTTCTGAAATAAAAGAAATCATAGTGTGAGTCCAGGAATTACGGAACCGCGGACTTAACGGGTTGGATTACGAACGGGGTGCTTTTTAGTCAGTAAGAGACTGACAATCCTTCTCGCCTCACTCAGGCGGTAAAAGACATTGGATGATTTTTCCCCCTTAAAAAAGTGTAAGTTCGAAGAAGAGGGTAGGCATAGAGAAAAATAGTTGAAATCTAGCAATACGAATATATCAGTGGGTACGAATACAAATTAGAATCATTCAAAAATTAAAACCATAAATCGCATCGCATTGTTTGGCTACCAAAAATTTATATTTGCATACATTTCTGTACACATTTTCACAGATAAAAAACAAAAGAAAGTATACGAGTTAGTCTAAAACAAAAAATAAAATTAGACGACCATTTCCGTAATTCACGTAGCATAAACGCATTTCAGCAGCTCTTTCACTTTATGTCTGAAGGCAAACTCCTTACTTTAGATATGAGAAATAAATTCAGCTCGTATTTTTACGGATTCTAAAACCTCTAAAGCCTTTATGGCTGGCAATATGTTACTTATTCAAAGGCCACAACTGGTAGTTGCACACTTGTTACGCGAATAGGGAAAAACTCAAGGAAATAGATTCATAATTCTCTTATTTTTGAAATGTGTGTAGCTATACTTTTTGAAATTATTCTGCTTAGTTTCAGAAGTTCTTCTTAAAAATCAAACATAATGCATCTTGATTCAGGCTCTAACAACACTAAATCTATAATTTCACTATACT